GGAGGCCGGGGTTTCGAATCCCCGTGGTGGTCATTTGGAGCCGGGCCCTAGGGGGTGGAATCAAGCCCCTTGACGCAAGAAGCGTGCGTCCGCGTTAGAAACTCCAGTTTAAATTGCATTCTCCTTGTGCACATGCTGGGTTTAACATGGCATCTTTTTTCTTTCTCTTTCGCACTTGCAATAATTCAGTTAGTACACCGTGCAGGAGCATGGGTCACCGGACTCCCACCGATGGCAATTTTTTGGATCAACCGCCTGGCACCGTTGATGCCGAGGATCGACTCAGACGGGAAGAGTTTGACTCGACGTGCCGCGGTGACAAAACCGAGACTACCGGTCACTGCCAATGCACACTAGCCTATTTGAAAAGTCTGTGAACTAGCCAGCTCGGCAGTATATTTCTCTCTTGCCTGTAGTCGATATGCGATTTTTCGGCATTAGAGACTGGGACAGGGATGCGCGCATAGGTACTATTTCGAGTTTTGAAAACTTCGGAGGAGGAGGGATGTTTGGTGAGTCGTGAGTTGTCGTTGGTCGACATGGTACAGTACTAGTGCTATATTCGCCAGGAATTCATCGTATTCAAGCGACCATCATTGATCAACGGTTAGATCGCCTGCCATCTGAATAAAGCAATTTTCAGGTTGTGGGAAGTCGGGGTTTCGAATCCCCGTGGGGGACGCTTTGGAGCCGGGCGTTGGATTTAATCCAGCGACCGCGTACAAACTTCAGTTGCATTCTCCTTGTGCAGAGGCTGGGTGTGTGAACTCATCACCAGATTTTTTTTCTTCTTTGAACATGGGATTCAGAGGTGAGAATAACAGTTGCATCTTACAGGGAAGTCGTCGGACTTCCACCGACACAACAGGTTGGATTTAATCCAGCGTAGAAACTTCCCGTCGCATTCAACTCCGTGTACTCAAGAGAGGGTCTTCTTGGGGTATTTTCGAAGTCAAGTCAAAGTCAAGTACTTCGATAAACCTCCTGTCGGAAACATGTCAATGACTATGTTCTCTTTATGCAGCAGGGCGTGCCTTTTTGGATTCCATAAGAGATGAACAACAATCCAAATGATAAGAATCCTTGGGCTACACTTGTGGTACGGCACTCTAGCTTGCGTCGGAACAACGGCCGAGGTCAGGGGAAGGATCTGAACGAACAAATTCGGCCACCAAGTTTGTAGCACCAACTCCTGCCATCGCACAACTATTAACAGATCCACAGCCGAAATGTTCGCTGAGATGTCCGCGAACGCGTGTGCGTACCGTCGCTGTCCGGGACGGAATCTGCATGGCAGAGATGATGCCACGAGCCTGGACCATCAGCGGAAAGATAACTGCTGGCAGGTTCATGGCAGCCCGTTAGCCAGACTTCGCCGTTGCTATTATCTACATACCGAATTCTCCAAGGGTACTATCTTCTTCTCTGTCAATGGGATTAGCACCGGTGGCAGTTACAATGTCGGACTGCATCATAATGAACCTCGACCGCGCGCGACCTACACCTCCTCCTCACTTTCGACGTCATGCCGCCAATTCATCGGCGATATCGCGTATCTGCCTCCGCTAGCCAAAAATTCTGAAAACGATGGCTGTTTAGGTGAAATGGTGCTACATCTTGGCTCTATGGGCAAATTACCCGCCATCGAGTTATTAATCGCAAATAGCGAGAGTTCAAACCCCCGTCAGGTCACTGCAAAGCCGGGCCCAAGGATTTTATCCAGAGACCGTGTGGAAAAACTTCAGTTGGGCGGGATGCGTTGTATCAGATTGTATCTCTTCTTCTTCGTAACCGAACTCGCGAGAATTCAGTTGCAGTGGCATGACAGACGGCGGCCGGGATCTGGTACGCACTTTAATTATTTACGTAGTGTACACGAGTTTAACAACTTGTCGTTTCTTCCTAATTGAGCACAGCGACCTGAAGTTTCGTCCCGAGTCCACGCCACCCGGTCTTGGCGCCGTCTTGTTGCGATGCGTGGCGGGGCATACCAGTGAGAACCTTGGCAATGAAGGTCGGGTCAGTAAGGGGTGTCAGGTCGTCGCGTCGCGGAAGCGCCTATGCTGAGGGGTCAACAGCAATGAAGACCTAATCGCTGGCAGGACGTACGCCCTTGACACGGTCGTACGGCGCCTCCCAGCCGCTGGTCTCGCGCACGACCAGCGGGGGCGAGCTTGCAAATGAATGATACACGCGCGTGTCGTGCGTGCGGAACAGTACGTTGTCGACACGCAGCGTGAAGCGCGCCAGGATAAAGAGGCACGTCGGCATCACGCGCTGCAAATGGGCCTTCAGACTTTGAGCAGCGACGAAAAGCGGAGATACGCACGATTCGGACAAGCAGATGCGACGAGCCGTTGTCGTGCAGCTCATCTTCAAACAGGGGGACCTCGGCATAAAAGAGGATGGGGTCGGGACGCGTGAGCTCCGCGAGCGGAATCGCGTGTGCGGGATTGTCCGCATCGGCGGCCGCCCAATCCCATGGCCGTGGTGGCTCCTCGACCACGGGTGTTGCAGGACGCGAGCCGGCCTCAGACCCCACGCCATCGTCGATATCTGAGGGCGTCCAGACGCCGGGGTGACCCGCGTACGTCGTCGTGTACGTCCAGTCATACGGTTTCGTCGGGACGGTCTTGGGCATAGGCAGCGATGACGCGGGATTCGTGCTGCACGCGGGCGCGCAGTGAGCGGCAGGTGGGAGAGGGCAGGGAGGGGGTTACCGGCTTCGAAGCCACGCGTCGGCGTGCCCGACCTTGACTCCGCCATCGCCGGCACCTAGTTCACCGTTTTTGACACCGTGCAGCGCGTTTGGTGTTGCAAACTCGTACTTCCACTTAGAAGGGCGATGCTCGAGCGAAAGAAAGTTGGACCCAAATGTCATTTCTGGCAGAGGAAAGCCGAGCTCTGCGTGAAGGGCATCGCAGTCGTGGGCATTAGAGATAGGGTGCGTCGACACAGTGACGGTCCAATCATGGATTTGGATGGCCCGCGACGTCGGCGATTCCAGCAGCTTGTGCACAGGCACCGCGACTGCACTGTCCATGTTGGCCGGAGAGGACATCGAGGTGACGCCACAATACCAGCAAACACCCTCAGCTTGAACTCAACTAGTACGACGAAAACTCTCGAACAGAGCTGCGGCGACGGTGAACGATAATCTTCGTATCTAGTTCTCGAATTCTCTTCGGGATACGACGAACACGTTTCCAATATTTAGGCCCAGCGTCGATGGTGATGGGATCCGGAGTTGCAATTTTGCAAAGGACACGTTTCATCGATCAGCAATACCGCGACCTTGAGTCGGGCCCGACTCTCTCAATCTCTTCTGCCGCAGCGGCCCCTCATTCTCTTAAGTTTGCAGTTGACGATGGCCCGTTCCAAAAGGCTGGCAATTATGAATCGGGTTCAATCCTATTGTGTTTCCGATCATCATAGCCCCGAGACGACCACGGTAGTACCAAGTAACACTAAGATAAGCTGGGTATCGTCTCCGACATTGCTGCCCTTTATTCGTTCTTGTCTCTGGTCCACTTGGATTGCATCCGAATCTACAATATCGAACGCGTACGCATCTCAAATCTCTTCTGACGACCTCGACACTCACTGCCAGCTCCTAATAAACCATCAAGACATGGCTCCCAAATTTACCTCCCAAATTTAGCTGTATTGAGTTGCCTTGGTAGTTGTTATAGTGTGCTCTTTTCTTTTTCTTTCGCAGTGACGGAAGTTGCATTGAATAGAAGACAGCGAAGGTTCCACTCACTCCAAGTCGTTTGATTATCACCCAGACGGTACTATCCGCCTAGGAATTGGACAAATAACACAACCGCAGGATATTCTCCGGCGTATTGGTTCTGCACCCATGCACATGCATCCATCTCCTTAAACGGATTCGGGCTGGTTCCTGTTGAAGAAACAAGTTGCAAGAAACTTTCCCTGGCAGAGGCCGACGGTCGCGATTTGAAGGCATGAAGTACGGATCCGCGACGATATACTGTGCCTATGTTCCTGGAGAACACCAAGACCGAAGACGAACACAAAGTTGCTAAGATAGATATCTCACCCATTCATCGGGACCTCGTCAGACGAATGAGAGAGCAACTTTTATTCTTCTATCTACGGCCCCCAGTGGAAGTCCGAAGCCCAGGGTCGTTGACTTTCAACGTAGAAAGGCAATAAATGCCCACGCCACCGTGAAAGCAGCCCTTGCTTCATGCAAGTGGCTTACTGGTCTAAAACAGAAAAAAAATACCCAGTGACACCCCGGCTCGCGCATATGGAGAATGCGACACCGAGGTCTCAACGCGAACCCGTGGGCCCGGCTCCAAAGTATATGCCAATGACCTCCACGAGGATTCGAAAACCCGGCCTCCCGCCACTGAAATTGTTTTAGTGGCGGGTGATCTAACCGTTGATCCATGGTGGACATCAAATACTGAAATGTTGTGCAGCATTTCGACCATTCGAAATATAACAGAACACTTCGCGCCCCGGCAGGTCGCTTGGATCAGGACCATACATGCCGCACCTACAAATAAAGCTGTGATCCTTGCTGGGTACGTGATCCACGCCTCTCTGCGCCAAAGACTGGTGATTGCCTGGTTTATTAATAAAGGCTTCGGACAGCATAATGTTGTAAAGAGAAAGATAAGTAATGTCCCCGCCGTCGGCTCCCATGCTCTGATAACCCTAGAATGTCAAATGATTAGCGGCCCTCCCTCTTTATTGTAATTTTTTTTTTTCTTCGTTTGAATTGTGGCGGTTGTGGATCCGGAACATCCCACCAGGATCTATCACAAGATTTTTTATTCAAGGGCAAGGTCATGGTATATCAATGGTATATGGTCCGCAACTCTTTGGACCCAAGCCCCTTCTCTTCCACAATCAACAAGAAAAAAACATTGTGATGAAACCCAGCCTTTGCACCAGGAGAATGCAACTGAAGTCTCGACGCGAGCGCTGGATTAAATCCAGGGCCCGGCTCCAGCCCAGAAAGCTGCAACCACTACGGGGGTTCGATCCCCGGCCTCCCGCCCCTGAACATTTATTCAATGGCGGACGATCTAACCGTTGATCTATAGTGTCTACGACAACCTGCAGTGCGAACATGTTTGGGATGAATATCGAAAATCTCCTGCAGTATGATTCGGCATACCTAGCTATCAGAGCCCAAGGAAGTCATAAATTAAAACAGACCCATATTTCTGAACACACAACAGGATCGAGGGCGAACATAATATATGGACACTAGATCGGCGGGATCGACGGAATCAAAGTTCGGCATCAAGAGGCAATCAAGAGAGCCTTGCCTTTACGTCGACCACCACTACAATGGCGTCGAATATCGCCATGCACAACGCTATAATAGCAGGGATAAATTCCCCCCACCACTCAGTCCCGGTCAATACCGGAAGCTTCAACCTTCAAGTTGCCGTTCTCAATTAAGAAATGTATTTATTAAATTCCTGTGTATAGAATGCCAACTTGAAGGGTGCGTACCAGATCCCGGACGCCCGCATATCGCTTCTTGGAACCTCGGTGAGGGATTGATCGCACGAGTTTTGAAGCCAGTCGTCGTCTCTTCAGATCTCACAGTCAGTCAAGGAAGAAAGAAAGAATATCACATTGAAACCCAGCCTATGCACGGCGGCAAGAATGCAATTGAATTTTTGGCGGGAGCGCTGGATGCTAATTCCCACGGCTGATACCACCGCAGCCACTATGGCCTCGGCTTCCCGTACCTGAAATTATCCAATAGCGCCAGGCGGTTGATCCGAAAAGTTGCCGTCGGTGGAAGTCCGATGACCCAAGCTCTTGCACGGTGTACTAACTGAATTATTGCAAGTGCGAAAGAGAAAGAAAAAAGATGCCATGTTAAACCCAGCATGTGCACAAGGAGAATGCAATTTAAACTGGAGTTTCTAACGCGGACGCACGCTTCTTGCGTCAAGGGGCTTGATTCCACCCCCTAGGGCCCGGCTCCAAATGACCACCACGGGGATTCGAAACCCCGGCCTCCCGCCACTGAGGCAAATTTAATGACGGGTGATCTAACCGTTGATCCATAATGGTCAGAAAGTGCGGCGAATATATTGTACCAAATGGCGACCTGAGAGGGCTGATCCTTTCCTGCTGAATTGTGTCCATTTTTGAACTTGTCGGAAATTGGGCCCCCGTTTGGTCACCGTCATCTGAACATTCCGTTGAAATATACAACGGTCTACAACGGTATGTACTGTACTATCCGCGTCTCCAGGCGCCAAAGCTCCAAATCTAAACAGAGGGTCCAGGTAGATTACCGTGCAGTGAGAAATTGGCAAGAGGACGTACTATTATGTTGAAACTGGCCTGCAGGTCAACAAGAAATCTATTTTATATACCATCAAGTAGAAGCCACTGTACGCGGACCCTCGTTGATCTTCGGCATCAAATCAAACGGCGTCTGCCAGCGATTCCCCGTGGGGATTGTTTGCGCGTCAGTGGCAGTGCAACCGGGATCACATGCCAGTTCGCAAAGCGCGTCCTCAACTTGCCATCCACCACCATGTCGGTCCACGTCGCCATGAAGACGGCGATGGTAGCCAAAATCCACGAGACTTCCTACTTTACTCCTCCCTTCACCCCCATCTCTGAACTAGAATGGGAATCCAATATGCCGGAAGATGCTGCTCGTGAGGTGATGGGCGTACAAGAGGCGTTGGCGTTGGCGGGTCAGAAAATTGTGGATTGGGTGATTTTTCGCATCGCGGGGGGTCACCGTTGCTTGGCTGGAAACCCCAAGGCGCTATTCAAGGTGCGAAATTTACGCTACTAGCATCAACCTTGCCGTTGACGCGCCTATCACCCGCGAAGAGCCTCGAAGTCTGCCTCTCCTCGGAGGAGATCCTCAAAGCGATTTTCATAAAAATTGACCCTCGCGCTATCCACAATGTCAAAAAAATCCCCAGCAGTTTCAAAACCTTTTTGGGCTCCTCCTGGGACCAGCTCGAACTGCTAAACCGCGATACGGCCATCCTCACGGACTGGCTGACCGCCATTTTGGCACCTCTGGTTCCAGTGGCAACCTCGGCTTACATGGACCAGTGCGTCGACCGTGTTTGGTTCCTGAAGGATCTGACGCAAAGGTGCAGGATGCGCGCATCCCAACGGCAGTCGAAACGAACTCGCCCGCCATCAGCAATCGCTCCGACTCAGACCTCCAATGTCTCGCAGACGCCGGTGGCGAGGAATCCGTCCGGTATTTCTACCGCTCATTTATCCTACGACTGTCGTGACGACCCTCTTTTGCTAGAGCTCACGTTCCTCCGCAATATCCGGCAACTCCAGTACCGGACTGGCGCCTCCGAGTTGGCCCCACCAGAAGCCCCGACTTCCCCTCAGCCACCGGTATTCGCATTTCCTCCCAGTCCTGTTGACTTTGCTTCTCTTCTAATTCGTTCTCGTTCTAGAACACGCCGCCACCTTCTGGCATCGCCGTCCCGCCTTCCCCGCTGGACTCAATTACCCCGACATGGAGCGGAATCGAGCGCGAGCTGCCGACGGTACGAGACTTCGCCATTGCAGAATGCATATATCTCATGCTGTGACTACTAGGTCGACGAGCTTCTATCCGAGTTTATGGAGCTGGTCGGGACGCCGGAGGTATGCAACTCTCCGCGCATCCCAGAGGATTTCAAAACTCAAACCTTCGCAGGCTCCCATCTCGCCGGGGATGCTTGCGCTCGTCGACTGGGAGTCTCCGGTCGCCGGCGGCTCTGATATTGCAGGGCATGGAGAGGTAAGTATCCTTGCATCGTCGAGGATTTCAAAAGTCCGACTTTTTGCAGACAACCGCGGCGGGGTGCCATCTTGTATCTCGCGATTCTCAGCATGTCGAGCGCTACTCATCATTTCCAGGTGTTTACCACGACTGCCACCGTGGCTCTGTCAACTGAGGCCGTCGCGGTAAGTCATCCTCTGTGCGCCTTCATTGCATGGTCTGATTCCGACAAATTCCACGCGCAGATCCCGGGCGCGCGCGAGATAACCAATGGCGGTGGTGGCGGCAAGGTAATGATACCCACCCTGGATAGCCTTTCTTTGTACGTGGAGTGCAACTCAACGCATTCCTCATTTCTAGGCTGCCAGCCGAGCGGAAGCAAGTAGCAGCCCGTTGCTCGCCGCCGCCGAAGTACGTCGCCCTCTGCGGTGCTTCATGATATTTTCTAACGAATATTGACCAGATATACACCGCCATCTCCGGGCGCACACGGACCATCGCCGACGGGGGTCGCGTCACCGTCACTCTCTTCGAGGTAATCTTCTCCATTCCGCAGCCATTCGAGGTGCTGACCGTATTCCAGAAGGAGACTTCCCCCGCCGGGTCCTCGGTAGCTAGTCGCTCATCGTCTGCACGCCTGTGCTAATCTTTCTTTATGTCTAGCCTCAAGGCGGCCTGAAAACCCCTAGAGCCTTCCGACACCCCCTTACGCCACGCAATTCGGGCGCTGACCTGTCGCCATCAGACCTGCAAACCCCTGGCGGGCGTGTCGGCGAAAACTTTACTTCACGTGCGTACATATTTCGCGCATCTCATCCTAACTCGTGCCTTACCTATTCCTTTCTCAGCTCTTCGCATGGTGCAGTGGCCGGGTTTCTTTACCAAGTCCTGATAAATTCCCTGTAGAGATCAATCCTGCGACTCGGAGTTAATTGTAGTGTACCGCATTGTATTTTCCTTTAAGAATGGTTCCGAGATAATAAAGAAGATGGCTGGTATTACAATTGTGCGTAGTACACGAATGAGTAGTGGGTGTCTGTCTGTCTATCCAATCCAATCCAAAAATCTAGCGAGTACATTACAAATCAATCACCAGCATACCCGGACATCGCCAGCGACGAGACCTTGTGCCGCAGGCGTAGGTGCGACGCGTCACCGTCGAGGTCGATGTGGCGGAAGTACATGTCCATGTCGCCCGCGTCGAACTCGGACTGGGAGCGTGCCTCGGGCTCAGGCTCGGGCGCGGGGGCAGCCGGTGCCGCCGCAGCCGTGCTGGCGCCGATGCGATACATGCGCCGCCGGCGGCCCTTGCGCGCGGCGCCAGCGCCGACGCCGACGGCGGGCGGGCGCGGGGGGCCACTGCGCACGGCAAAGTGCGCGAGGGAGCGCGTGTACGGCGAGAGGGTGTGATTCGAGTGCGAGAGCATCGCGAGCGCGTGGACGGAGTGCGCAGAGAGGGGCGGCGGGTCGTGAAACGAGGAAGGCGGCGTGGAGAGGGAGAGGGAGTGTGATGGCGAGGGGGACGTCGAGCGCGAGGAAGGCGGCGAGGGCGGCGACGGCGACGACGCGGAGGCGAACGCGGCGGAGAAGGGGTTGTGCGGCGGCGCGGGGCGCAGCGGGGGATGCGATGGCGCAGCGTGGTTCTGTGCTTGCGTTTGGGACTGCGAGTGGGATTGGGAGTGATATATGCGGGGCCGCAGAATCGTCCCGCCGCCGACGGCGGGCATGCGCTCGTACTCGGGCTCGTCGCCGGTGACACTGCTCGCGCTGGGTTGGCTAGCTCCCCATTCCAGGATATCGTACGTAGTGTCGAGATCGTCCGTTACGGACTCCTGCTCGGATTCCGCAAGGTCGGCAAGCCCGCGCGAGGGCGAAAAGAGGCTCTTGAAGCCGCGGAAGACGCCCTTGGCCGGGATGCCGTCGGGCCGGAGGCCATAGGTAGGATCGAACGGGGGTTCGCCGTCACTGGTGACGGGCGCGGTTTGTGGGGTGGGGGGGAGCGTTCTGCGCGTGACGTTCGTGCGGCTAATCGACGCAGTTCGCGGCAGCGGCAAGGACGAGTTGAACACATTTACGTTGTGTCGCGTGAGACTCGGCGGTGCGCTGCTAAGCGGACGAGGTTCCGCAGAGACAAATGCACCGACGTTGCGCACGTTGCGCTGGGCCAGGCCCGCGGTCGGGGACGGGCTCTCGACCTTGGCCTTGACCCACTGCTGGCTGAGGCGGTGGATGATGCCCGGGAGGTCCTCGCGGAACATTTGGCGCAGCTGCCCCTCGATCTCGCGTTGGATGAACATCTGGATGACGGCGATCGAGTCGAACGTGC